CCTTCTATTTCAGATACTCATAATGATCAACAACTGACATTCCCCTGCAGAGCAAATCAATGAAAGCATTAATTATAATGTTTGTTTTCAGATCAACTTTACATGACTATTGATTTTTATGATCCTCTTGGTGTGTCCTTACTAGTCAAAGCCAAGTGTTGCTTCTTATTTCCACGAATGAACATAACCAATCAGCAGATCTGAACTCCTCTCTTTGTCACCAAAACGAAATATCACATCACCGCAGGTTTTACATTCACACCTTTGCAGGTCTCTCAGTATGTTGAAAGGATGCCACTTGACTATTTGACACACCATTCTCCAAAGTCAAGCAAAATAAAAAGGTCACAGTAGTGCCCATAGTCCCTGAGGCTACATGAACACACCTGATTTGGAGTACTCAAGCTCTTGAGTTGTTTGTCAGGTGAACAGACTGGCAGAGCCCTCTCCGCCACTCCTGCCTGCTGTGTCAATAAGATCTAGGACATCATGTGGATGCATAGCTGACCCTGCAAGGGCAAGAGACATTAGTATCATAATGTGTCAAATGTCATACATTTCAACACACTAACACTTTAAACTCGATATACTATATATAAAGTGATGCGGTTGACTGTGTGTGTCTGTTGAAAGAATTTTTTTTTAGTTTAGCTTGTGGTTTCACTGACATTTGTCCATGTCTGTGTGATCTCAGGCTTTTAAATCATGAGAGGATATATTTAAAATCAGAGTTCAAGCACGCATGAAATACTAAAAGCCCAGAACAAAATGCTGACATTTTTATGCTATGCATAATTTGTAAGAAGATGCCATTTCACAGCATGTTTCGGAAGTGTTTGGCTGACTTCTTGCTTAATATGATCTAAAAAATTTAAGACTGTCATATTTACATTTGATCACAAGGCCAAATATATATATATGAAGAGTTCAGATGCAAAAGCCTCTAAATGCCATTTGAAATTTTCTTCTTTAATGATGATTTTTATCAAACTTGTATATTTAAGTTCAGTAATTTCACTTAAATAACAATTAATAGGTAATTATCATTGCCATTTAAGTGAAATCACTGAACTTAAATATACAAGTTTGATAAAAATGATCATTCTAGAAGAAAATTTCAAATGGCTCTTAGAGGCTTTTGCATCTGAACTCTTTATATATATATATATATGTTAAATCAATGTTAAATTGAGTCATACAACATACAAATGGTGGTTAATTTATTTCAGTGTGAGGAAGGTTAAAAATATATGGATGGATGGACTAATAAACAGGAACAAAAAGACAAGTGCAAGGCATCTGTTTTGAATGCAAATGTTAATCATATCTATCTCAACTGAATTATGAAAGCTCTGAGTCCAAGGCTCAACAGTGAATAGAAGGTAATTGCTCTGAAGACACTTTCAGATTGAGAATGCCTTTGCATCATTAGCGCATTCATAAATAGACTGCAAATGTTTTATTAATATCCCATTTTCTGAAGAAATGATTGGCACGTTTGTCTGAGAAAAAAATATTTGGTAATTGTATAAGCAGTGTGGCTCTGATATGCAAAACAGTGAGTCCTAATTATAGCAGCAAAGTATGAACACAACACAGCGGTTAAAGATGATACTGATCCTTTTGAGTCTCGTTAAAATGAAGCTATTAGTCATATAAATGAGTGCGAGACAAGCTGCAGAAATAGGGGGAAAAAACACAGAGCTCCCCTCACACAAATCATTCAAGATTCAGTAGCGGTAGATGCCAGTAGACATCAAACCAAGACAAAAGGATAATAGAAACCCTAAATCAGTAAACAAGTCAGGATGAAAAATATTTTACACCTGATTTTGGGACTTCCACCCGTGACACAACGGGCTTTAGTAGTGCAGACGGCAAATGACAAGCCCCTCGCCTTATCTACTGTAGCACACAAACTAGCACCCTAACCTTGAGAAGTCATTTTGCTAGATCAATATTTGCCAGGCGGAGAGATTGAGAAGCAGGCGGAATACTGTGGCTTAGAAGAGATGGAGGGAATATCAATGCCCACAGGTGAGAGGTGGAGAAAGCAAGAAATATGGCGGCTGTCAGATCAGATTTTTTTTAAACTCCATCAAGTCTCAAGTGCTGCTGGAAAATCTTGCAATGTGTGTGTTTTGTAAACTGCAAATAACTTTTTGGAGGCATTTTTTTAAAACAGTTGCACTGGTCAGCATGCACTGATACACATCCCATGAACACAATACATAATACAGAAGTGTTAGTTATTTAATGAATGTGTAGAACAAACCATGTGGAGAAAAAAAAGTTTTTCAGCATATTTTTTTTCTTCTTCCTTTTTCAGTCCAATACAACCATTCTTCACTAACCCAGAGACGGTAGGCGAGTATTGTGTAAGCATATGTGTATCAAAGGTTGGTGTGAAGAGCCTTTATAACACTAGATACTTGCGTGTTAAACGTCTAACAGAATCATACAAAAACAAAAAACAGTAATCCCACTCCCCTTCTGTAATCAACTGTTGGCATCTGACAACTAATCAGAGCAGCGTAACAGCATCCCTATGACAACAGGGGACTTTCTGGTCCTAGCATAGAGGTGATGACATATCTCAGGTAGCTCATTTGTTCTGCCAAGTGCCATTAGCCAAATAAGTGTTAGAAAAGCTGTGTCAGTGGCCTCATAAAATTGTCAGATCGGAAGAAATGGAAAGTTGGCCGTGAAAACTGTGCATTTTAATATAACTGGACAGAAATTATGCATTTATTCTCCCCAACAGCAGGACCAAACCTTATACCCTAAATGAGATGCTGGTGGTTTTTAAAAGTAGTAAAGTGTCACTATGAATGGAAGCAGAGAGGTAATAAAATAAAACAGAATACACAGAATCATTTCAAACAGTATTATGGTCGTGTGGAGTCTCTTGACCTTCAGCTTGGGGGTCATTCCCATGTTCACAGGGTCCTGTGTGGGAACAGACTGAAAGTAGAGCAGTCAGAAAGATAGATAGCAGATGGAAGTGCAAAGAAAGAGATACACAGAAACAACATATATACATAATTAAAAATAAATACTTTAAAGTAATATAACTGAAGTAACTGAAATGAAGAGTCCAATTAAACAACAAATAAAGAGCTTGAGAGATTTATAATGGACGTAAATGCTACGTGGGATCTCAATATCTCAGCTCTGGAAGGGTCTAGAGCCTCCATTTTTGCACTCAGGTCTAAGTCCCAAGGCCCTTTATCAGAATCCAGAGTTTCAAGAAGATTGGAGAAACGTATTTTTTCGCACAAAAAAAAAAAAAAAGAAAGGGGTACCATTGTCGTTTTTTTCGGGTCGAAATTTTGAGTTGCTCTGATTTTCTTGAAACTCTGGATTCTGATAGAGGGCCTCGAGACTTAGACCTGAGTGCAAAAATGGAGTCTCTAGACCCTTCCAGAGCTGAGATATTCTATCCATCTATCAGAATCCAGAGTTTTGGGAAGATTGGAGAAACTTAATTTTTCGCCCGAAAAAAAAAAAAAAAAAAAACGTAAGGGGTACCACTGTCGTTTTTTTTTCGGGCAGAATTTTTGAGTTTCGATATCTCAGCTCTGGAAGGGGCTAGAGCCTCCATTTTTGCACTCAGGTCTAAGTCTCATGGCCCTCTATCAGAATCCAGAGTTTTGGGAAGATTGGAGAA